TCGGTTGTCGCTTGTCATTCTATTACTCCGTACAGTTGTCAAGATCTATATTCTTCTTTACGCTTCTTTCTTGTTCCTTTTCTGTACAACACACCGACGACCGAAATGGGCCCACGGTGCCGAACTGCCTTCATAAGTCCTTTGAGCCATTGCTTGCCAGGGGAATACACGGATGACCGGGTATGCGAGGACGCATCGAACGGTGTGTCAGTGCCCAGGTTCGAGCCAGTCACAATCAACAGCCCCAGCAGAGACACAGTCAGCGACGCATTCCAGATGAGATTTTGCCCAGCTTTTACTGTAACGATACTCCCAAGAAGCCATGGAATTCAACCTTAGAGCCCGCCAGGGACCATGGCCGGTGAGGGTGAGGGCACAGACCAGAGAGCGACTTGGAAAAACGAGGAATGGGTGTGAAAGTCTGGGAACAGCAGCAACAGCAGCAGCAGTGCAGCACAAGCGACCACCACCACGACCATCAAGACAGATGGGATGTGACATTGATGCTGCCCGGGAACCAATGGAAAGTCCTCTTGGTGGAAGGTCCGGGCGCCGGGTTGAGCTTTCCTTCCCCCATCCATGCCACCTAATCGTCGCGGCCCCGCCGTTGCCAGCTTCCTGCCTGCCCAGGGCCCTGCTTGCTTCAATCCTTCCTGGCACTTGCTGTCGAGTGCGGCGTGCCATGGCCCATGGCTGGTAGGTGCAGGGGGAAATCTCGGGAACGCTTGGTACCTTGAGTGGAGAAAGTGAGGGGCAGCCCTCCTCATCCAGAGTGTTCAGTAACTTCAGCGTCGCCCAAAACGGTCACGCCAAACCACCGTGAACAGAAACAGCTCTGAACTTTGCCCACCTTGGACACCGCACTGCATGCTCCTACGAGTCCTATCTACCTTACTACTTACGCCGTAGGGATACTGTCGACGGCGGAAACCCAACTGCTCTTCTCGTCCACCCACATCAACCTGCATCTTGACAACGAGGATAGCGAGGGAGCCAGCTTAGCACTCGCGGTGCTTTCCCTCCTTGGAAACTATCAACTACGAATACTCTTGACTCTACTGTCTTTGGTCTTATCTTCTTGCCGTCTCAACTTGTCCCGCCTTGGTCTCACCTTGGGGAAAATCCATTTCTCCATAGAGCGACCGGCATACCTGGCAGGGCCCCAGCTGCACACATTACACACTACGCGAGCGTGGTGAGTAAGAGATGCGTCGAGACCAAAGAGTCACATCCAAGTTGAACAGAACGCCCCATGCTCACGATGTCTTTCAGATCTGTGTATATCGACCTGTGGTCTGGGCTGTCAGCGCCAGATATCACGATGCTAGATCGCCGATTCTACGCCAGCGATTCATGTCGCAATGGACCCCAGTGAGCATCCTGACAAGCTAGCCCGGGTAGCCGTGCTGCGATCCGCGACTGCACTATCACGGCCCGAGAAAAAAAACGGCAACTCCAAGCCTGATGTCACTTGCTATTCCCGACATGTCCGCCTATCTGCTGCTGCCGGCGGAGACTTCTCCCTTTAAGGCTTTGACCAGAAATACACTGTGTTCTTGGGAGAACCTAGCATCTACCCAAAATGGAAAGGAGAGCGGCCAGGGAACCCCCCAAAACCACCTTCTTACAGACCAACGAACTTTGGACAAACCATTGAGGTCATAGGGATGTTGCGCGCGTGAAGAAACCAGCGGCTCGCGTCCCCGAACGGATACACTACACAGTAGGTCAAACCTTACAGAATGCCCTGTTTTCAACCGAGATCATCTGTCCAACCCCGGTCAGGGGCCTTGGCCTCACTGGCCACTCCCTGCAGCTATGTCCTGCCGCCAAAGGACCCTGAATTCGGCTTGTTGTCATTGCCACCCATCCAACTCAACCTTTTTTTTCTATCAGCCGCTGTCTGCCAGATGCATGACCTGAGGGACGATAGGTGCTGTTGTCAAAACATCTCAACTCGATGCTACATTGTCTTGACAAATGCATTATGTGCTAATATTGGGTCACAGAATGGTAAACAACACGGAAAGTTTGTTACTCAGTCCACCCACCGCCAATGTCAGAGTGGAGTGATTACGGCGTCCCCATCGCCGACTCATGTTCCGTCTTGGTTCGGTCCTGGACGAGTCGTCGCGTTTCGATTGATTGCCTGCCGCTGTCAGAATTCCAAGTTTTTCCCAGTCTGCCATGCACCGCCGAGACCGGTGGCCCCCAAAATGGAAAGAGATTGACGTCTCAACCCACGATGAACCTCGACACGTGTTAGGGGCTTAGAAATAACATGTTGAGCGACAGAAAGCCGTTATTATTTTGCGTAAGGACGAGGTTTGATTGGATGGTTGCACCAGAGGACCCTTCATGCGTTCAGAAAGTCAATATAAACGAGCAATGTCGTCAGAGGACGACATTGAAACATGCCGAGCAACGATGGACCAGGCATTAAACGAGATCGATAACATCAAGGCCATCGTTCTAAAATCGACTTCCGTCAAAGAACGACGTTCTATACAACGAAGCCGTCAAATAATCCCGTCTGGCTCTAGAGGTAAGGTGAGTTGTAGGGAGGCACAGTAGGAACCAACAGGTAGGTTTGTAACTGCCAGCCATCAACACGGTGCGCTTTTCCATCACGAGATGCTTAATGATCGGCCGGGGCCCTGCAAACTCTTTCAGGGAAAAGAAACAAGCAACGGGACTCGAATGACATCATAAGGATGCAAGGAAGCCATCCTGAGAAAAGTCTTGTGTGGTAGGATGAGATCCACAGGGCACCACTTTGGTGACTCGCTCACCATGCTTCGGTCTGGTGGGTGGACTCGATACAGTCTTTCAAACCAACAGTGAAATGTCCGATTGGGCATGGAGACCATGAGAATTCCAGGCGGTCAGAAGTCAATTGTCCAGAGGCCACGTCATGGTTCGCCAAGGGAATGATTCTTCCATCTCCCCTGTGATGGGTAGATAATGATTGAGACGGTTGCGAGGATAGGATACCGTTAATATAACGTTTTTGACGATCTCTAAGAACGGTTCAGGGACCAGCGCAGATCTCCATGGTCCGGATTAGGTAAGGTGTGTCATCACAGACCACCTGACAGGTCACCTGATACCGCGACAAGTGCCGGGCGAGGGTGTCTTACCGCGGCGCGTCTGCCCCTCAATCAAGGCCAAATTCCATTCCCAAGATCTCGACCAACCGTTCCGCATAAGACGAACTGCATCCAATCAGTAAATCCACTGCCTCTCTGTCAAAATCGTACACTTCGGATCTGTAGCACCAAGAACAGATCCTTGCACAACCAGCCCGTTGGACCAAGAATACCAACAATCAAGCCATGGCCGAAGCGACCTCCACCCCGCGCATCACGGCGCAGTACCTTGACAACTACGTTGGTCGCAACGTTATGCTCATCGGCAAGGTCTTGCAGCTGCGCGGTGACTCTGCCGTTCTTGACGCGGACGGAAACGTCACTGCCATTCTCAATCGCGTAGGTCTTTCTCTGAGAGCTCTGTTGAGGCAATATGGCTTTGCTCCGATCGACTTTCATATATCGGTAGATGAATGCTGACCCTTGACAGGATGTTCACCTCACCAATGGTAACGGTGCTCAGATCATCGGCAAGGTCAACCCGGATCTGTCCATCAAAGTCCTTACCTCCCGCGATCTGGGACCCGGTGTTGGTGAGTAATACTCGTTTCCCATCTGGCTAGAAATCCCGTGTCCCGTCATTTCAAACGGCATTCCATTACGAGACTCAACACGTCTTTTGCGCATGGAATTAATACTCCCGGCACATCACGGGGCTGTTTTGCGCAAAAATCCATCCCCAAGTCATGTTCGAGAACGCGCTTCATGCTCTCAACATCTCTCGCAAACACCCTTGCAGCACCTTTCATGATGAACACTCCTCACCAAGCATACCGCTGACAACCTCTCCAGACTACCAGCTCGCTGCGGCCGTAGTAGAGGCAACCCATCACTACAAGCCCCTCTTCGTCTTTGACAATTGACGGCACCAGCCGTCCGGGCGCGTATACGGGCGCAACCAGGTCACCATCCCCGCACCCAGTCAACCCGCACCCAGTCAACCCGCGCGCATTCCGCCCCGAGCTCCAGTGACCCGGCCGGCGACGACCACCACCACCACGGCGAACTCCTCTCAGTTGCGCCGACAGCAACAGCACCATCACCAGCATGATTATCAGAGACAGCAGCAGCAGCAGCAGCAAACACCACCTCCCACCCAACGTCGACCGCCCCGATACATCCCGCCCACACCAACCCCACCATCCCCCGACCTGATGCGGCACCGATCAACTACCCCTATCTCGTTAACTCAACCCCCGTCACCCCAAACCCAAAAGCGCGGATCCTTCGCCATCCAGGCATCTCAGCAACCCGGCCAACATGATCGAGACTACCGACAATCTTCAACCGTGAACCAGGACAGGAGGATAAGTATTCCCTACCGCCCTTCTCGCACAGCAGCAGCTCGACCCCGGACACCGCCATCATCAGACACACCTGCACGACCAAACTTAAGGTTGTCTACTCCCGAATCTACCTCCACCTCTCAGCATCCACAGATCAAGGCTTCTTCTGAGAGCTCCGATAGGCTCGTCAAAGCCAGAGAAGTGCGAGAGATTGAGGAGCGCAAGCTTCGTCGGCAGAGATCGAAACCAGGGGAGCCGGAAGTGGAGGTTAAGGAAGTTGTCGACGACGACTCGGAGCTCTTGGGCGCGATCTTGGACGGTATTGGACGTATGACGGTCGGCACCGTTGCTATGCGCATGGATGATGCAGGGCGGTGGAGGATTCGCCGTGACCCGGGGGAGGAGAGTGATTAGCATCTCATTACGCTACTTTCGGGCTTTGCGGGTAATGTGCAGTTAGGGATGGGTCTGACAGGTAGCCCTCTTTGCAGAACATAAATTCTACGACTTCATCATAACACCCCTACTACAACTTCGTGTCGGCTCGTCAGTGTAGGACATGTAAGACCATATCGATACACAGCCAACTCAATGTCTATAATCAAGCCCCAATGCATGCTTCGGGCTTCCCAACGCCCCTACCCTGACACAGCTGGCCTTTGGGCCTCCTGTGCCAAATAATCAATCGTCATCCTCCAAAAGCAGCTCCTGCGCCGCCTGCCAAATCTGATGCAATGATTCCTCGGTCAATTTCGGCTGCTGTTGTCCACCGAGGCCTCCAGAGTGCCTGGTATTGCTACTGTGCCTGTCGTCGTTCCACCAAGCTGCAGCCCCGCCATCACTGCTCCTCGTCCCATCCATCCCTCTCATAGCCTTCCTGATTCTCTCCGCCACAACTTCTCCATCCTCTGTTGCCACCGTCTCGTTGCTGTCTCTTCCGCTTTGCGACGTAACTTCAGTGTCGTTCTGCGCATCCCCTCCTTTGATACCCCTCAGCTTACGCGTGAAGTGTTCAAGAACCGAGACTCGTTTTTCTGCAGCTTCGGCACGAGATTTCCACATGGCACACTCTCTTTTGGATACTCGAAGCTGTTCACTGAGTGTTCCAATGTCCAAGTTATTTCTTGTCTCAAGTTGACGCCGAAGAGATGCGTTTTCCTCATTCCTGATATCCAGCTGCCTCTGAAGACTTCGAATTTGTGCATGGAGCATGGAATTGTGGCCCGGGCTTCCTGCTCGTGCCGGGACGATATCCTCGCTTAGTTGGCGCACTAATAGTGTAGATGAGGGACGGGGCAATGCGACACGCTGTGCGATAGGCGGCTGCTGAGCGGGACTTGTCATGGTCCCAAGATGAGGTAAGTACTTGTCATCGTCCAGAGTATTGACCTTGGAAGGAAACTTCCTGTACCTCGAGGAATCTGGTGTTTGCTGAAGCTGTGCCAGAGATGGCCTACCGAGATGGACTGCACCTCCGTGAGCATTGGTCGCCTCGGGAACGATCAACGACCCGGTGCTGTCAGTGACAGACCGCAGTCTATGACTTGTCTGTCGATTCCTTCCACCCGAGAGCCCACAGCCTGGATCCGGGTCACTCTCTTTTGGAGCTACGATCAATGCTTTCGTTTTCGGTGTTTCAAGAGGCACAGTTTCTTGCCTTAAATGGAACAGACCCAAATCCGTTACACTCGTCCGAGAGGGGCGAGGTGTTGTAGGGAAAGACATATAAGGCGACTCCTGGGACGCATTTTCAAACATGGCCGCCATGGCTCGCACTCCCACTGGTTTTGAGATAGATCCATGCGATGGCGTCGAGCTACCATAGCTCCCGCCAGATGGACGAGCCGGCGTTATGACAGGTCTCAGACTTGATGCTCGAGAGCGTTGCGCGATTTCCTCTGCCATGGATGCTATGCTCTGCGGCCTTGAGAGGGTCGACTGAGGCGACACTGGCGGTTGTTGAGACTTTGATTGACCCTGAGAGATGCCACCGTCGCCCACGGCTCGCCGAGGAACAAGCTGATGTGCATGGTTTTGCAGGCCTATGGTACCGGTCGAGCAAAGAAGATTGTCGTCGATTAGATCGTCAGAAGGCAGCGTTTCCTAGAACGCCCCTGGCGAGACCGTGACGGGGAGTCGAGGCTGAATGTGTGAAGCACCTTTGGTCACAAACTCCTTTGGGGTGACCTGAATGGAGCCACCACTTTCGCACCTAACATTTGATTCTGTGCTCTGATGCGGAGTTCGAGAAGGCGATTTCGATCTCGGGACGTCTTCATCTGGTTTCTTTCCAACCATCCCGTTACCATCGAAGCTATTGTCTCTCGAGTTCGGTTTGGCCAAGACTGGCTTGTCAAGGTTTTTCTCGATAAGATGTGCGCCTCTGTCTATATCACGGCCTTCGGACTTCAAATATGACACAGGTTCTGACGCCGTTGCTGTGATGGAGTCTGGTTTGGGCGTAGTGGGCGTACACGGGCTTACAGCGTCGCGCGACGCATGCCTTGTCTTTGGAGTTCTAGGTGTCGGGCTTCCGGAACTTGAGCTTCGGCTGGGATTACTTCCAACGAATCGACGAAGTGCCGAAGGGACCATCCCGCTTGTCTTTGGCCTACAGTCTTCCGACTGCCTTACGGAATCGTTCCCTGGGTTGAGCACGTTTATTTGTACAGGCCAGATGCCGTTCTCGGAAATTGCGTATGGCAGTCGTTTTGGAGATGCCTTCGCCGAGTCTCTTTCGACTGGGAGTTCCTCCGATATACGGGGACTCCCCATTGAACGCTGCCTGTAATGTCCCTCCAATTTTTGAGCCGCGTCATGCAAGCTCTGATTCTTTGAAAAATCACCCATGTAACCGGCCAGACTCTCTGCAGCAGCTGCATGGGATTTATTGGCGCTGGGCTTTATTTTATTATCAGAGTCATTTGATCGATCTCTTCTTAGCTTTTGCGTACGTGGTGAAACAGCTTTTGTGCCCGGGCCTAATTTCCTCTCTTTGAGGTCTCGATCATCTGCTATACTTTCTTCTGCCGTTGGAGAGAGTGGATTGAGAGACTGGCGCAAAGGTATTCTGTTAGTCGATTGTACCTGGGAAGACTTCGGCCGGAGTCTTCCAACGTGAAGCGAATCATTTAGATTCCCTGTGGTTTTCGACAATGTCAGACCTAAAGCCTCTGCAAGTGTGTCAGCTACCATGATCCTGAGACTTTGGATGCCTCTCTACTTACTAGGCGCCGGTGTCGGGGTAATGGGTGATTTCGACCTATGTTGGTTGATAGAAGACCGTGGAGAAGAGTGCTTGCTCCTCCAGCCTTTTGGCAATCCGACGGCCAGAGAGTCAGAGTTTGATGAACGAAGAAATCTCCGACGACTCGTGCTCTCCAGATCCTCATTTGGCCCCCGGAAACTCGACAAGCCCTTCATGTTGCGCACTACTTCTCTCCAATTTGAGGTGAGCATCTCGGTAATGTCGTTTGCCACGCGAATTTTGTCAACAGACATGGAGTCTGTATTGTCTTGGACAGTGTTCTTTCGCTGTCGTTCCCTTTTCAAACGCGGCGGGGTAAGGGGGAAAAGCAGCAAGCCCGAAGAAGGGTTTGCGAGCTTCATGGTATAGGAGTCAAGCAAATTGCCGACTAGGAGGGGACCGAAGACGATCCCCAAAGCTGCGTATCCCATCAAATCTGACGTTGGAAGTGGCCGGCCCTGCTCATCCTCACGAGCTGCGGTCTCAGCAGCACGTCCGATGAGGGAAAGGAGGCCAAATACAGCGCAAATAAGCTCTCGACGGAAGTGGGACTTGATGGTCCCAATGGCCATGGCAATGAGTCTAGCACGAAGCTTTGATTCTTTTGTTCTGCTGAGTTCTGGCTCCCCACGAAGCTGACTGTGAATCGCGACCAATGCATCAAAAAGGGTGAGAGAGCCAAGGATGCCACCTGGGAGTACAGATAGCAGTCGTTTGAAAGCCGAAGCTACGTCTTGTGCACCAGCATTGATATGTGATGGCAGGGTAGGGCAACGTATCGTACTTGTGACTTCTTCTCCGGGCTTTTCGTAGCAGTAATAGTCAAAGATTGCATTGACAACGCGTAGCGAACCGGGAATGCGGAATACACCGCGTGTAACAGGTCCTGCAGAGGAAGATATCAGAAGAAGCTTTCACATGTACAGTGATTCTAGTTGCATACCATATTGGGCCAAGTATTGAGCAGTTGCCCTGAAGCAAGTCGGCACAATAAGTGAGCCAACAGCATAGTCGGCAGGGAGATGGAAGAGGCTCTTTCCGCTCAGTCGAACCATGGTCTGTAGATCGAGTATGTTGGGCTCAGGTTTACGAGAGTGGACCAAGTGTAAGGCAATATCGCTGACGCTTCGCTTGTGACGGACTCGGTGGGGTGGTCCTCGTGAGGTAGGCGGTTGCCCTGATGATGTTGAACGCAGTACTCGAGACCACCATCTCCGTTTCTCAGTCATAACGGCTGGCAGTGAATGTCGCTAGACTTGTTAGGAAATTTCCATGCCATAAAAATGGTGAAGCTCACTCCTCCTTCGAAGCCATCCACCGCCAGTAATCGAATTCCATGCTGTCGTCATGTATTAGTGAACTGTCAAATGCTTCAAGAGGGTCGAGTGCTGCTATACTTTCCTGGCCAATCGATTGTAGTCTTGCACAAATATTCGACGGTCCTGAATCTCGTCCGTGTCTGACAATAGGGCCAAGTCTCCGACAGAAGAAGTCCATGTTGCGCTGCTCGCGAGAGCCCTGCTCCGTCGGTCATCTCCAGTGACCAAGGTAGGAAGAGTACCCGAAATGGTTAGCGGTTGAGGGTCAGCCCTTGATGGCAGCATAGAGGTCGCGATGGGTAGTTGAGGAGGCGCAGTACTGGTTGGCGCAGTGCTAACGGTCTGGCTTCCGATGGTGCCAGTCTCGAGGTCCCGAGACAGGCCCGATGATAGTGATTGATCATTGTCGTAAGGCTGCATAGCAAAAAAAGAAATTGATTCTTTGGCCAAAAGGGGGCGAAATCGAACGCTGGAGCCCGCTGGTACTGTCTGGGACCGAAGCGGAGAATATCCAATGTCAGATATCGAAGATCGTTGACGATGGAGAGGGCTTAGACGACAATGGTGCTTGGCTGTAGCTGCCTACGTATTTAGCGCTCGTGTGAGGGACATCGTACCTGCCCAGTATGGCTGAGCGAGTCGGCGGCGGGATATCTTAACCGATGTTCAGACTGAGTGAGGTGTGAGTAAATAGCACCTGCCATAGGTACTTCATAGTACGGGCAGTGCTCCTGCAGGGCTTCCCGATGCCGACCAAGTCTCGTTAGGTGTATTCTGAGAGAGCTCTCCACGACCTAAGGCAACTGCTCTGCATCTTGCATCATGCCAAAAGACACGGCGGCACCTCGCAATGTATAGCAATGACTTGGGACATGTTCTCATTTCGTAATGCATTCAGGTAGCCAACTTCTCCGTGAGCCCCCCGATCGTCTATAATGAAAATAAAATGAAGAAATTCGGGCACCGTCTGGTATTCCTCCCAGTTACGCCTCTGTACGCCTAGCACGTGCTCATTACCATGTCTACCGGTTCCCAAGTCATTCCAGCGAGGATCCATCGCTCTTGGTTCTATGCAATTCCGATTTTATTTCGCGTTCAATGCCCCACGACGTCGTCCTCTTCGCCGTGCAGAAGCACATACTTGAGAATATCGGACAAGGAGATGACACCCGCGAGTCTGTTATCATCGTCCACTACTATGAGACGGTGAACTCTTGACTTCCGGACTGTGTCAAAGATCGAGTCTAGTCTGTCCTCGGGACTGCAAGTGTAAATGCCAGGCGAATCGTCGGGACGCTTGACAAGTGCCTCTCCAATGCTCGACTGCAATTCTTCGTAAACGCCCCCCTTAATACACGGAATAATGTCGACAGCTTCGAAGACGTTCAGTAGGCGGTTGTACTTGTCGACAATCGGGACGCAGGATATGTTTTGCTTGACCATCAGATCGACCACACTGAGGACAGAATCGTGCATCTGCGCTGTAGCAAGGTCCTTGTATGTACCCAATCCGATCTCCCTGAGGGACTTCTTGAGCAGGACGGTGTTGTGTTCGTTGTTGACGGCGATGAATTTAAGAATTCTGTACTGTGTGATGACGCTAACAACCATCTCGCGCCCGGTCTCGTCATCAACGTCAACGAGGGGAATTCGGCGCGCACGAGTTTTGAGCATGCGGCGGCAGGCCTCGTAGAGTGGTCTCATGGGGTTGACGGATACGGTCTCGAGAGGAGAGGCCCCGATGGCCTTTTCAATATCTGACAAGCGTCTTAGTATGCGACCGAAAGCCTGGACGGCGATGGGAGCGTCACTGACCTCGCAAGCTGCTGAGTCGAAACTGCTCCAGCTTATGCATCTCGTCGGGGAACTGGCAATAGTATTGAATCACATTGATGAAATCTGTCGCCGTCAGAAGACCAGCAAATCTGGAATTGTGCGAATCCCATAGCGGCGCGGACACGATGGCTGGATCGATGGTCAGAACAAACAGCCCGTAATGACAGAAGCATGACTCGTACCATTTTGAATCAGGATGTTGAGACTCTTCTTGATCAAGAGGTCGTTGTCGAGGACAATGAGGCGGAAGGAGAGCGGTAGGACATCATAGCTGGTTCGGACCTTGAGGAAATCGCGAATCGCCCGCTAAAAGACGAGCAAAGTCAGCGACGGTTTGTTGCGGTGCAAATATGCCCATTCGCGACGGTCTCGAGGCAGAAGCACAACCCCGCATGCGCTCGCATCTAGGGGCGCACGCGGGCTCAAGCACATAAATCGGCGGTGCGCGAGATGGTCGAGGGAGGGGCCCAAGGGCACATGTAGCTTACTAGGCCTTGGATCTGGTCCTTGTCGAGCGGACTGGGCGGCTTCTCTGGCATTTTGCGAGCAACCGAGGGTGGTCTTGGGCGAAGGTATGAGGAGGGCGTGACGAAGGGAAGCTCGTGACCATGTGGTCTCGCGATGGACGCAGCGGTAGCGACTACAGGCGGTTGTAGTGGACCATTACCGCTAGGCTGTTGTTGACTTGGATGCGACGTGGGCATAGAACCAGGACCGGCATTGTCCTTCGAAGCCGAGGAGGAGGAGGAGGAGGAGGGGTCGTCCATTGCGTCGTCGTGGGAGGGCTAATGGCGCGCGTGGCCCCTCTGGACGTATAGGAGGAACGGCGGGAGACGGGATAACGGGAGGCAAAGACAATGGGTGGGAAAGAAAAACGGAGGGATGGAATTCGTGGTTTGGAGAATGGATTGGGCTGGACTGAACGCCTTGGTGATTTTTCTCTCTTGCGCCGTTCTATTCCCCTCCCAACCTGCATCAGGAAGCAACGAAGCAGAGGCAAGGTCGTAAGTCTGAGGTAGTGGCACTGGTGGCACTGGTGGCACCAGCAGTAGCAAGGTACCTAGGTAACAAATAACATTTATCCCAGCTGTCCCGTCCCTCTTGTCTTACCTCAGATGAAAGGTACATACAGTTCCTAGCTACCTCGCCCACTGCAGCCGTATCTCTGTTTCTACTGGACTGCGTCGGGTACCCGTTAGGTTCCTCTTGTTAAGATAAGGCAGATAAGAATAAGACAGGGAAAAGTCGAAGCTGATGGGTTGAACAGTGAACTTGGGCAAACCCACTCGAGGAATAAGGTCGCTGAGGGCGTCCAACGTCTGATTCTTGGTGTTCTGACTTGTATCCCAGTCGAAATCTGGCGCGTCTTAGCGTAGCGGGTGCAGTCGTCAAGCAGTTCAACAAGATGCTTATGCTTCTATTTAGCGCTGCGCTCGTTGTGTACAGCGGCATCAGCTTCGCATGGTGATGTAGGCAAATTGCTGTGCGATGACGCATTTCGCCGTTGGTAATGGATGCTGTTACATCTCCATGAAGCCTCTATGAAGCCTTTGTGATGAACAAGCCCACGTGCAAGTAGGTAACGAGATAAGGTATACCTACCTAGTGAGGCACTTTTCAACACTGCGGGTGCTCATCTCTCAACGGGATGTCTGGACGATGATCTCCTCCGCGCATAATTGTCCGATTCCTCGCTTTACTCGAGACCGACTGTCTTGCTTCGGTTCGAGCTTCAGAGACACGGCCAAAATCTTCGAGGGGGCGTGATGAGGCATGCACCTCCGAGACATTTTCTGCAAATCTTCCTTCATTCCATCTAGGTACGCGACTGACACCGCTCAAGATACTTGATCAAAACGGAAGATAGATAATAGGACAAATACGATTGTATGTTTCCATCTATTTTCGTTTTGCATCGCCAAAGCATCACACATTGGAAGTCGAGGCGCCGGTCTGAAGCTCCCCACCCGGCTCTACGGATACTTGGTATGTATAAGTACAAGGCACAGCATCAAAGCGGCCATGAAAATCGCGTGTAACTGGACCCTGGATTTCTGACTCCAAAGACCTTGGCAACTTGGCTCCTATCGCCAAGTACCAGTCAGTCAGTCAGGTGTGTGGGAGGGAACGTCACAGCAAGTAAGCCACCTATTGAAGACGAGTTTCTGTTGCATATCGAGACCTACTGGTAAGTATCTGGGTCGCGCTCATCTGAAGCTTGACCCCAGGCAACCTAGGTACGGTAGACAGACGGCAGAACGGGCAGTCATGAGGTGGTGTATCGTGAAGCAACGTAAGCTACCTTACCTGTGTCACATTTCAGTGCGACCCCAGGGATGCGTGCATTCCCAGATAAGAGCAATGTCACGATCGCTCAGGTGCACATTGTGTTTGGCTTGGTGGGTAGATAGTCAGCCATGTGAAAGTTGGAGATGGTCTTCATCACAGCCCTCCATCAAAAATCCCATGGAAGCCTGTCAACCACTCAACAACCTAAGGTAAAACCTAGGTACGACGGCGCAGAGAGATAACCTTACGCAATATCCGTAGAGTCATGTCAAATTAAGCCACAGCGTCGCTAGCGTAGGTCCGGGAATGCTGTCACCCCGGACCGGCCGCCGCACACCGCAGGCGCTCATCTGGATAAAAGGAAAGAAATCTCGATGCAAGATGAGGCGGGTGCACAACACAAGGTGACAAGCTCCTCCCTTCATGGAAGGCGCTTATTGAGTTTAGTTCCCACATGTGAAGGCATAAAGTGGTGGAAGGGGAGCAAGGTGGTCCGTGCTCGTTGTTCCCGACCAAGCTCGAGGGTTTGCCCGGGTTGGAACTTGGAGACTTGGAGTCTTCCCGCGGCAGGTCCGCCCGAAGGAGGAGACATGGAGGAGGAGAGGACTGCAGGTGGTCCTAGGAATAAGGTGGGAATAGGCCCTCCAAAGTCTTGCTGGCTGCAGCAGCGGTGCGAAGTTGGAAGAGTGAGGCGGCGGGTGGGGTCCTTCTCTTTTTCACGTCTCGTCGCAGAAACAAACAACCGTCCACTCACAGCACGAGTAAAAGCCGGACGACGCTGCAGGTACACACAATACGTACCTCTTGCCCTGGGTCCCTTTGAGAGCCTCTAGGCCGAAACAAGTTAGATTGCATGTTCAAGGTCACCAGTCCCACTGGGCTCCACGGGCATCTGCTTCGCTGTGCTGGAGCTGGTGCTGGAGCTGCTGGCATTGCTGGCGCGGTACGAAGCCGACCTCAGAGTGTGAGGTATGCAGAGTGCACCGCTGTTTTGTGCTGGTCATGCTGTCTGACGCTTTCCGAGCAGGGCAGCTTTGCTTTCCATTTGCTGGTTGCTTGGTGACTGCTACTAGCACTTTGGTACCTCTGCACTCTCTGGTCGTTCCCGTCCCCACTAGCCTCAGAAAGGCCCAGTGCTGCTTCTCCGATTGCTGCGGGCTGCTGCAACCTGATCCTGGGTCATTGCTCCGCGAGAGACAACTGGAGCGGCCGTCGCTTTCTTCCCAAAACCTCACTTGACCGACTCTATCGCCCATCGACCGACTAATATTCGGGCCTCTCCCACCCGCTAGAACCGATTGTCGCAATTCGCTGGCCATCGATTTGCATCAAGATTTGCTTCTCAGACTGGCTCCATCGTCAAATCGACACTACTATCCAGTCGCCAGAGTCACCGCAGACTCCGCATCCCTCTGGTCGTCGGGCGGCCAAACCGTTCGTGTTGCGAAGAGAAGCCCCATCCAAACAAACAAGCCCCAACTTTCTCGACCGCCAACTCGACATCGAATCTCGATATCATCAACATCGGCTTTTGTAGCCCACCTCGGCCATGGGAGCCTGCCAGTCATGTTGCGGAGGTATTAGCTTTCCATCGTCATGTCGACTACATCACCAAAGCTAATGGTGATCATGTAGGGAGAGCCCGCGATGGTCTCTACGAACCAGTTCTCGCCGATAGCGAAAGAGAAGCCGTTGCCGACCTTCTCCAGTATCTCGAAAACGTATGTGGTTTTTCGCCATGCATCATGTCGTCGACCTTCCATACTGACGTTGTTTCAGCGGGGTGAAACCGACTTCTTCTCGGGCGAACCCCTTCGAGCTCTCAGCACCCTCGTCTTCTCCGAAAACATCGACTTGCAACGGAGCGCAAGTCTGACTTTTGCCGAAATCACAGAGCGAGGTACGTTCTCTAGCGGTGTAGTCGATTGCAGAATCACACCGACGATGCCATTCGCGACGTAGCATCTGACGTAGACATGCTGACACGCTGCTCCAGATGTTCGCGAGGTCGATCGTGACACCCTCGAACCGATACTCTTCCTCTTGCAGAGCCCCGACATTGAGGTTCAGCGCGCTGCCAGCGCGGCGCTAGGAAATTTGGCGGTCAACAGTGAGTGAAGCGTAACAGGCAAGGCTGCAGGGTAGATACTGACTCAATTTACCAGCCGAAAACAAGGTTCTGATTGTCCAGCTTGGCGGACTCACGCCGCTCATTAGGCAAATGTTGTCGCCGAATGTTGAAGTACAGTGCAACGCAGTTGGGTGCATCACGAATTTGGCCACACATGAGGAGAACAAGGCAAAGATTGCGCGCTCTGGCGCCTTGGGCCCTCTGACGAGGCTGGCGAAGTCTCGGGACATGCGGGTTCAGAGGAACGCGACTGGAGCGTTGCTCAATATGACACATTCAGGCAAGGCGTCTTTATCTCGCAGACTTGAATTATGGACTAACTGGTACAATAGACGAGAACCGCCAGCAACTCGTTAACGCCGGCGCGATTCCGGTTCTTGTCCAGCTTCTCTCCTCATCTGACGTCGACGTTCAGTACTACTGCACGACGGCTCTCAGCAACATTGCAGTCGATGCTAACAACCGACGCAAACTTGCCCAGACGGAGTCAAAGCTCGTCTCGTCGCTGGTCACGCTTATGGATTCATCATCACCCAAGGTTCAGTGCCAGGCAGCGCTCGCTCTTCGCAACCTTGCTTCTGACGAGAAGTACCAACTCGACATTGTGCGATCAAATGGTCTCGCGCCTTTGCTTCGACTCCTTTCTTCATCCTACCTTCCCTTAATTCTTTCCGCCGTCGCCTGCATACGAAACATTTCGATCCACCCCCTCAATGAGTCGCCCATCATTGAAGCCGGCTTCCTGAAGCCCCTCGTCGACTTATTGGGCTCTACCGAGAACGAAGAGATCCAGTGCCACGCCATCTCGACCCTTAGGAACCTTGCTGCCAGCTCTGATCGTAACAAGGCCCTCGTCCTTGACGCCGGCGCAGTTCAAAAGTGCAAGCAGCTCGTCCTCGACGTGCCGGTCACCGTTCAGTCCGAGATGACCGCTGCGATTGCTGTTCTGGCTCTCAGCGATGAGCTCAAGTCTCATCTTCTCAACCTCGGAGTCTTTGAAGTTCTCATTCCTCTTACTCATTCACCTAGCATCGAGGTCCAGGGCAACAGCGCTGCAGCTCTTGGCAATCTCTCTTCGAAAGGTTTGTTCAGCTCCATCGTACCAGGTTAAACTTTGATCTAATAATTCAATAGTGGGAGACTACGCTGTCTTCGTCCAGGATTGGAAAGAACCCAACGGCGGTATCCACGGATACTTGACGAGATTCCTTCAGAGCGGCGATGCTACATTCCAGCACATAGCAATCTGGACTTTGCTTCAGTTGCTCGAGTCCGAGGACAAAAACCTCATTCAGTTAATTGGCCAAGCACAAGACATTGTCGACCAGATCAAGGAGATCGCCAATCGTCAAATCGAGCCGGACAACGAATTCGAAGACGACGATGAAGGCGAAGTTGTTAACCTGGCACAGCGGTGTCTCGAGCTCCTTGGCCAGAGTGGCTCGAAGTCTCACATTGAAGGTTGAACGACGACCTCGGCAGGAAATTTTGCAACATTACTTTGTTCTCCAACTTCCCTGAAAGGGTACTACAGCAGGACCGAGGGGTTTGGGGGTTCTGGTCGGCGGTGTTTCGGCGTTGGTCATGCAGAATGAGATTCGGTTGTTACGTTGAGTTTATATTTCGGCGTA